AAATTTGGATATCGGTTTGCCTCTTAATTGGGGAGAGTGGGACCAGTTCACCAGTTAGGAAATCAACCTTTGAACATTTGCCAGAGGACTTGGGCGAGAGGGATTCTTCTTACCGCGGAGCTTTCCAACCAGAGCCATTGCTTTCAAGGCTTCAAGTATGAACTAACTGATACCCATGACTTAGAATTATTGGCGGAACACTACTTTGGAACAGGCGTAGAACCAGCTTTGAAAGGGCGTTAGGGTCGGACTATTATTTACAAAGGAGCCAACTTGCTATGGACTGGCCATGCATTGCCACATATCGATGTGCACCCGAAAGCTGCATATGAGTAGCAGAAACTAGATGTGCATTTATCATTGGAAATTTGTAGAACAAAAGGAAAGAACCCGTCAAGAAATCCTCATGAATATTTGTGAAATAGATGGGCTTCTGTCCTGGTCACTGAATGAGCTTCGCGATGTATGATTCGTCGATGACAAATCAGGGTGGGTCCCGACGGTTGGACTGCTAAAGTCTCCATCGCCACCACTGCACACTCAGACGCCTCCAGCGCCCTCAGCGCGTACAGAACCTCTTCTATCTATCGTCGCGAACAGCATTTCTCAACTTGACGCTGCAAGCCCATCATGGCTCCCCCACTCAACCTCCTAATCCGCGCCCTCGTCGCCTTCGAGGACGTAATCATCAGACAGGTCCGCACGCACCACTACCCCTCCTACGGGTGAACTGACCCCTCCATCACGAAACCCAGCTAACTCTGCGCCCGTACAGATCCTCCGCAGCCCAGGCTTCCACCGCGGCGTCGGCCGCATCCAACGATTTGTAGACGAGAAGCAGAACGGGCCGATGCCGCATGAGCCGTTGCGACAAGGAGAGGCGTCAGGTACGTTCGTGTTGCAGAACAAAGCACTTGGAAGAATGGAAGAGGCTAATACGGGTGGATGCAGCTAATCCCGAAGATCGAGGGTTCGCACACCACTTCTTCCAGGAGCTGAAGAATCAGTTCCGCGGGACGCCGACGGATCCGCCGCCGCGGGGACCGCCTGCGCCGCCGAAGCGGTGATGGTGTTTGGTGCGACGATTGAACGAATTACGACTACGCTCCCGTCGAGTCGATGATGGACACGATGCGCGTGGCGATGATGATGAATCTCCTCTCTGGCATATATACCCAACATCTCGATAACAACGAACGAATCCGCGGGGGGAACATCTCAGCAGGAACGAGGGGAAGAACTTGGGCAGTCAGTCGCCTTTTCGACTGGATAACCCCACGATTTCGTTTCTCGCGGACAGGCGTCTTGAGCGCCTCTTTCATCACATCTCTCCCAGGGAAACCTTTGGTTTAGAGGAATTTGCCATTAGCACTTGGAATATTGCATCGCATGGCGTAGGGTCAGAGGAGGGGTTCTTGGATATGGTGCGAAATGGGCGACGGAACGACACTCCGGAGCGGCCTCACTCCAGCGCCGAGACCGCCTCTACGATGGCCAATTGAAGATCGGCAACATCCGAGAGACTGGTCGACTCAACGGAGATCGGATGCTCCTATAGAGCCGAAAGACAAAACCTCCTTTCGCGGTGTTCGCCGGAAGCGAGACCGAGTGGCTGGCTCAGGGGCACAATTAAATAATTGAAGCCATCGCGGGTTTCGTCTGATGTTAATGGCTAGACCCCAGGCCTGACTCAAAAAAGTGACCGAATAAACATTAATTGTACACTGCCCTATTGCAGATTTTACGGCATGGCAGTGCTCAAATGCGAGAATTACCAGTCAAACAAGCTTTTGCGTGAGTCCCTGAAATTTCTCCGCCCCCTCTAAACATGCGACAACGATCATGGGTCGACATGCAACCCAACTCTAATAAACCCCCTCCCATCGGCCACTAGCAAACAATCCCAGCTCTCCTGGCTTGAGTGCAGCTGCGAGCTCGTCTTCGGGCCGCCGAACCACCACGCTGGACCGACTGAGGGGTCGTCGTGCAAGGCCCGGAGGCAGAGCCCCCAAGTTGCCTCTTTCGGAAGAACAACCTCTCTCAATCTACGTGATGCAAGCTCGCCTATCGTGATTCTTTCCTATCCGGGTCGCCTCCAAGTCGCTCTCCGTCCTCAAAAGAGAATGGTTTTCCCGCGCCGTTGACAAACTACGACCAATTCGATTCACTTGGATACTTGTCTCGATCTTTCTCAGCTGGTCTCGGCTACCTTCCACTCATTACCTGTTCACTTCGCTTCGCTCGCTCAGCCATGTTTGCATACGATTTTCCACCAAGCGCTGCGCTGCGCGCGTTGATGGCTGGCCTTTTCTTGTGAGTTGCATTCCGAACAATTCGTTTTGCCCAGCCGTGATCCGGCGGGCTTGTCTAGTCTATGGAAGCGAGTGCTTCGTGTATAACCTAGGTTGGATCCCTCGAGACTCTACGGGCTGCCATTGCCTGCTTCATGCCACCGCGATCGATGCTTCATCCTTCAACATGAGATCGAGCCTCAGCTTCGTTACTCTGGCGCTGCTCCATGCCGCTTCCGCTCAGCAAACGGCATACGGCCAATGCGGCGGCAGCGGCTGGACGGGCCCGACGACCTGCGTGGCCGGCTGGACATGTCAGAAGCAGAACGAATGTAAGTCTCTCTCACTTCCCATCGCCACTCTCACTCACACATCACAGGGTACTCGCAATGTCTCGAGGGAAAGGCCTCCACCACCACCCTCCTAACATCAGTCAAGCCAACCTCATCATCAGCACTAACAACAACCGCCAGATCCTCCACCGCCGCCGCCGTCCCAACACCATGCTCCGGCACCTTCAGCGACATCGGGGCCGTCGACTACGTCAAGGCAATGAACCCGGGATGGAACCTGGGCAACACCCTCGACGCCATCCCCAACGAGGGCTCCTGGAACAACCCCCCGGTCAAGGAGGAGACCTTTGACGACATCAAGGCCGCCGGCTTCAAGAGCGTCCGCATCCCCGTCACCTACAACGACCACTTCACCAGCGCCGCGCCCAACTACACCATCGACCCGGCCTGGCTCCAGCGCGTCTCGGACGTCGTCGACATGGCCACCGCCCGCGGCCTCTACGTCCTCACCAACGTCCACCACGACTCCTGGAACTGGGCCGACGTCACCAAGGCCACGACCAACGAGACCCGCGCCGCCCTCGACGCAAAGTTCTACGCCACCTGGCTGCAGATCGGCCAGAAGCTCGCCTGCAAGTCCAACCTCGTGTCCCTCGAGCCCATCAACGAGCCCCCTGCCACCACCGCCGAGCACGGCGCCCATCTCAACGCCCTCAACGACCTCTTCCTCAAGGCCCTCGCCGACAGCGGCGGCTTCAACACCCGTCGCGTCGTCACCCTCATGGGCGGCAGCATGGACGGCTACAAGACCACCCAGTGGTTCAAGGCCCCTGCCGCCATCAAGAACCCCTGGGCCCTGCAGTACCACTACTACTCCCCCTACGACTTCGTCTTCTCCGCGTGGGGCAAGACCATCTGGGGCAGCGACGCCGACAAGGCGTCCATGAAGAACGACCTCGCCGTCGTCCGCGGGAACTTTACTGATGTGCCCCTCGTCATCGGCGAGTTCGACGCCAGCCCGCTCAACACGGAGCCCGCGGCCCGCTGGAAGTGGACGGACCATTTTGTCCGCACCGCGGCGGAGCTCAACACGGCGCTGATCATCTGGGACAACGGGCTCGACCACCTCGACCGCAACGCGCACTCCTGGCGCGACCCGACCTCGCTCGCCATCGTGAAGGACGCAGTGCAGCCGCCGCGGAATTCGCTGCCGGAGAGCACCACCGACGCGGGCGCCACGACGCAGAACTCCTCCGCCTTTGTGTGGAACAAGGTCGGCGACACGCCCAAGGACGCCGTGCTACCGTGGCAGTTCAACGGGAACACGCTCAAGAGCATCAAGACCAACTCCGGAGGTGTGCTCGCCGCCGACACGGACTATTCTGCGTCAGACTCCGCCATCACCCTTAAGGCGGGCGTTCTCGGGCAGTGGCTCACGCCGACAGCGGCGCCGGGGAGCAAGGCGAACCTTACGCTAGAGTTCTCCGCCGGCGCGCCGGTGCAGGTCGAAGTGGTGCAGTGGGACGTGCCGACGCTGGCTGTGAGCGAGAGCAAGGCCGTGGCCGGGAAGGATCTGAATATTACACTCGAATACAAGGGGCTGAGGATGCCTGCTGCCGTGAAGGCGTTGAAGAGCGACGGGGGGTTCCTGTTTGATGAGTGGACTAGCGTGCTGGGCCCGCTGCAGGCTGCTCACATTGTAGGTTCAAACATGCGGACATGATGGGGATGATTTGCTGACTCTTTTGGCAGACTTACAGCGGCCAGTGGAGCTACGATGGCGCCAAGATTGTGCTGCCGAATGCGACTGTCCAGGCTGTTGTCAGCGGCGGAAAGCCGACGGTGTTCACGTTTGAGTTCTACCCGAGAGTGCCGGGGAACAACGTCACGTACACTCTGACGCCGTGAGATGGGTCGGAAATATGATGAGACTGTGGCTGGAATGGACACTGGGATTTGGATCTTGTCTTCTTGGTGTAAATACTTCTTTTCTGACGTAGTAACTATGGGAAATGTCTCGAGAAAGAAAAACACGTGTCGGGTTAACCAGACAAGTCATGGTGAGCCGGGTGTAAACCGGCCGCCTCCGAACCCCGGCCCCGCCCCCGCGCGGGGTTTCGCGGACGATGCTCCGAACGCATTCGGGTCTGCCAACAAGAAGCCGTGCCTCATAACGCTTGTTCAAAACCTGCGATGGACATCTTTCATGATCATTTGTTTCCACTTATTCATCATCACTAGAATTTGCAGATCAAGACCAACATCCTGAACAAATCCCGTCTACTTCGGCCCTCGGTCCGAATCAGCCCGAGAGCCGCCTACCCCAGCTCATCTCATCCTCACTCCATAAAACCGAACCTGACCATCTCCCTCTCACAAACCTCACATCACCATTCACACCACCACACCAGCAACCATGCTCACCGAATCCTTCTTCGGCGCAGACGCCGCCCGGCCCCTCTGGGACTCGGACCCCCTCGCCGACGCCTTCACCCTCCAAGACGCCGCCGCCCCCCTCGACACCGCCGTCGTCGCCTCCGTCGCCCGGCCCTGGCTCTTCACCTACAACCCAACCGTCTTCCCCAACAACCGCGCCGTCCTCATCCTCGGCGGCGGCGGCTACGTCGAGCTCATGCTCGGCCGCGAGGGCGTCCAGGTCGCCCGCTGGCTCGCCTCCCTCGGCTTCGCCGCCCACGTCCTCGTCCACCGCTTTCCTAATTCTTCCACCTCCCCCTCCGCGCCCCTCGACGACGCCCGCCAGGCCCTCCGCCTCATCAAAGAAACTTCTATCTCTCCCGATGGCGGGGTGCCCTCGCTGGCGGTGTGCGGGCTCTCCTCCGGCGGGCACCTCGCCGCTGCCCTGCTGTCCGAATACCCGCCCCAATGGTCCGCAACCGCAGGCGCCCCCGTCCCGGACCTGGAGTTTGCCATTATAGGCTACGCACCCATCTCGACCAACGCAAGGGGCCACCAGATCGTGCCGAACAAGGCGCCGCTGCCGCCGGCGGAGAAGCAGGCGCTGTACGACGCCGTCATCCCCGACGTGCAGCTGCGCAAGCCCGCGCCGCCGAGTTTCGTCGTGTACGCGGGCAACGACCCCGTGGTGCCGGTGGTGAACGCGTACCGGATCGCGCAGGCGGTGCAGGCGGCCGGCGGGCAGGTGGAGCTGCATGTGTATGGCGATGCGCCGCATGGGTTCGCGCTGGATACCGAGGGGCTGCCGGTGAGTGGGTGGACGGGGGTTTGTGAGCAGTGGTTGAGGCAGAGGGGGATCGTGGGGGGAGGGTGTTGGGGGGTGTAAGTCGGATGAATGGATATCAGCTGGTTGCATGTGAAGAAGGGGAGCAAGTTCATGAGGCCGAGCGAGGTTGTTCCCCCGGACCCCGTATTAATGAGCGTATCCCTGTTGTTACACTACTATACAAACGCACATCTGTTCTCGTGCGTGTTCTCTTCCAAGACTGTTGTGATGATCTAGCCTCAGCGGAAGGCGGCATCAGACCACGCGTTCCAATGCTCAAAGTTCAAAAAGTTCCACACGACATTCGGGTCCACCAGGTTCGCGTCGAAATCGCCCGGTATCAAGTTATCCCCGAGCTCGTCCCCGCCTCGGTGTATATCGAGTCCCTCCGTCATGAACATCGGCGAGGTCGTCTGCTGCATCGCCTGCTGCGTCTCATCCTGTATCTTCATCGCCACCGTCGCCGGGTCCGACTGCAGCGCGACGTGCTCGTTGGCCTGTCGTTGATTCGGCGGGTTGCCGCCACCGCTTCCGCCCGCTGCTGCCGCCGTCTTGGGCGCCGCGGCGACGTGGAGCAGCTCCGTCACGATCTCGGCGCACCGCCGCGCGACAGCGAGCATCTTCATCGCCTTGAAGATCTCGATGCTCATCTCGAGGTTCTCGATGACTTCCTCGTTGGAGAAGGGGGAGGAGATGTTGGAGATGAGGACGTGCAGGAGGACCATGCAGGCGTCGAGGAGGTACATGCAGTTGTACCACCTGTGCACAGCAAAACATCAGTACTGACGGGAGATGGGGAGAGATGAGGGGGTTGCGTACCATGTTCTGAAGTAGGGGCGGTGCAGGTAGCTTGTGTGCATGAACCGAATCGTCTCCGTCGCGGCCTTCACGCAGGATGAGACGTGACGGGAGAGCGTTTTGCGATCCGACTCTGGCGTCTTGAGAATCAGGAATTGGCGGTGGAGGAGGATTCTAGCATTGAGGAAGCCTGTAATGTGGATTCGGTTAGCTGGTCATCTTGAGTGAGGCATCCCAAGACGGGGGCGGCGTACGAAGCTTGAGCACAGTCTTTTGTTTCATGGCGAACTCGCTGTCTTCCAACGACGAAGTGTCGAACCTGAGCTCTCGTGGGAGCCCGGACTTCCAGTCGTCCAGCTCCCGGTCCAGATTCAACGCAGTTTGCGAGAGCCGCTGTAATGATGTGTGGCTATTGTGAAGGCTTAGGTTGTCCGTCATCCACATGAGGATCTTGGCGAGATCGACCATGGGGTTGATGAGGCATGACGAAGAGCTGACGAAGCCCTTATAGCTGTTAGCGATAGTACGGGGCTCGAATTGGATGTCACACATACTGCTGTTCTTGGGAAGGGGATGGAGTAAGAACTCGGTCCTCGTAATCCTGATTGGCGTCCGGCGGAGAAGCACATTTCGCTAGCTAGTTAGCACCTCATCACCATTGTGGATAGCCTCAACATACATCTCATGTGAGTACAAAGACCTATCAAACGTCAGAAAATCGCTCTAAGGTTGACAGGCGCAAGTGAGGGTCTTACCACCACAGCAAACTTTCCTGGCTAGTCTCGGATCGGATGTTGGTAGGAATACCCATGGCCGACGCGGTACGGATGGCCATGCCGCTGTACATGTAACAGCTGTGCGGCTTGAGCGCATTCTGACAGAAAACGGACTGGGATGGCGTCAGCTCAGGTCAGCTCAGCTCCCCCGCGGGTTCCTGGGCCGCAGTCAGTGAGGGGGCGGCCATGATGCTCTCACCATGAGGAACAGCGTCTGCGCCGTCTCGAGCGAGCTCGACTCGCAGATATCCTCCAAATAAAGCTTCGCCCGCTCAAAGTACCGCCTCGCAAGCCTAATAGGCGGGTACGTCGTCTCGTTCTCCCCAGGCAGCTCAGTCCTGTCCAGGAACTGTAGCGTGTGATCCTCCATCAGCAACGACGTCTCCCCGGCCGTTATCGCCCCGATCGCAATCACAGAGTTGAACAGCGACAGGAATCGCGCCCCGCGGCGCTGCTGCGACGGCTCCTCCAGCGCCGCCTTGCGCTGCCACACCTCCTCGTCGCACCGCTTCACGAAGCCTGTCTGCTCCAGGATCGGGTGGATGTTGTGCAGGTTCTGGAAGTACAGCCGCACGCATTCCCGCTCCACCTCCGTCGCGAACACCGCGTCCGCCGGGGTGAGCACCTTGCCGTTGCCGTACTGCACCGAGTCGCGCCGCGTCGCCGCGCTCGCGGACGGCGTGCCCTTCCCTGGCGTGTGGCCGTGGCGGTTGTCCGGCGACGTGGAGTAGTCCGAGCTGTGGAGGAGGTTGACGACGGATGTCTGGTTCAGCGTCTTGCCGCCGGGTGATGTCTTGCTATCGGGCTGCTGCGGTTGCTTCTGAGTACCGCCGCTGTTGTTCGCCCTGGACCGTAAACGCGCCAGGAAGTAGAACGTCCCCGTCGGGCCGTAGAACTCTGCGCCCTCGGTGTGGTCGTTCACCTGGCCCAGGCCGTCGACCTCCTGCTCCGACGAGACGACCGAGGACCCGCGGTCGCGCTCCATCGGCGGCTCCGACATGAAGGGCGGGTGCGGGTTCGCCGCGGTGACGGGGTTCTCAACCTTTAGCGGCTCATCCAGGCTCACGGGCGACGGGTGAAGCTGCTCCGCGGGAATCGGCTGGCTCTGCGGACGCTGCTGGATGCGGCCCGTCGGGTCGAACATCCTCTTACTGAGGCCATGGTCAGACTCAGATACAACAGGTACGGGGTGAATCCACTTGGGTCTGGTTGACGTACACTTCCTCGGGCTTGTCTTTGTACGAGCATGAGAACTCATGGCCTATATCAGAACATCGGGTCAGCACTTAGACATGGAACTGAACAACCGATGAAATCAAGTCAAACAATTGTTCTGCCCATCTACTCACGGACGCAGTTTGAACACGGCGAGCTCCCGTCGCACTAATCGCCGAAAAAAGGATCAGCAACATGATCTCGCGTGTTCCCATCACCATCGCCGACGACGAGACCGAACTACTAGCCTTGACTTTGCGCGCGCGACAAGTCCCACACGCCACCGGCGCACGCGGCCGACGTTTCCTCTTGAGAGTGCCCGACTCCGAGTTATCCGAGGTACCAGCGGGCAGGGTGGGGATATCCGCATCCATATCTCGGCCGGCGTTGCCTTATAATGGTGATTAAAGGTCGTAAGTACGAGGGAAGTTATTGGGTGCAGATAATGTTCGACGACACGTTTGGTTGGAAGAAGTGAGTGTATGAGCCAGAGTCACTGCTGCTGGACTAGTGTGGGATGCGGTGGGGAGGGAGGTTTCGAACCATGCTGGATTTACTCGACCCATGCGCTCGCTGTCTGCGCTTCACTGCTCCATTGCTGCTACATACATGTAATGTACACTGACATGACTGACGGCAGCGCGCGTGGCGGTCAACGGCCGGCGTAGCGGCCCCCGGGTGGCGCGGTCGCATCCATGGAACTGCGTGTTCGTGTTTCCTTCTGTGCTGGGGCCGTTTTCTTCAGCATGCAGGCTAAAAAGGGCCTAACATCAAAGTCTCAGAAGCAACGTGAGACGTGCCTCTGTCAAGCAGAGTTCTGACTTAGATCCAATGGATGCACTAGCGACGTCGCCGCTTTGACGTTGCCTCTGAATGACTCGACGAATCGGAAGCATCTCTTCGGCTTCAACAGGGCCTGGCCAATGGGATGTTGAACGTCGGGAAGCCGACGGGCTCGGCATCGTCTCCCTCGTGTACTTGATCTCGGGCTGCATCCCCGTCCATGGGAACGAAATAATTGCAGAGGACAGACAGGAAACGCTTCCCGCTAGACACACAATTTACCAGATGGCGGTCTTCTGGAATTTGTATTCTGTCCATTAAACGATTTTTCAATCTATTTTTCCTCCCAACTTATGTCATAAAAAAACAGAAGCCCAAAGAGACATTCCAAAAATGGAAGATGTTTCAGTCAATGTACCTGTTCTCGTGGTAGGCGGAGGGCCTACGGGTCTGTTCACAGCATACATGCTCTCCAAGCACGGCGGTTGGTCGGCCTGATGTTGGCGCTGGGGAGAGTTGCGATGAGCTAACCCATTAATCCTTTATTCCAGTCAAATCGCTCCTCATCGAAAAGTATCCCCAACGGCTGGCGGCGCCCAAGGCACACGCATTATGTCCTCGAACGCTGGAATTTTGCAGGCAATATGGCCTCGACACGAATGCGCTGCGGAAGCTCGGGAGTCCCCGAGACGATGCGTACTGGGTTAATTTCTTGACGAACCTGAGCGGCGAGAGGATTGGGTATTTACCCTATGAGAGGATGGATGTTGAAGTGCTGGAAAGCACACCTGAAGTGAGTTCGCCATTGACTGTTTTCATGATAAAATATGATGCTTATGTGAGATCTTATTGCAGATGATTCACAACGTGCCTCAACCAGATTTTGAGAGATTTGTCGCTGAGAAGCTCGCATTTGACAACAACGTAGAGCTGAGAAAAGGCGTTGCTTTTGTGTGCTGTGAGCAGGTGAGACCGTTGTTCTTATGCGCTGTAATTGATTTCCACTGGGCACATGAGAGCTAATCATGGCTCTAGCGTGGCGATAGAGTGATTACTACCGTTGAAGAACGGGCGACAAAAAAGCGCTGGGCCATTGCCTCCAATTATGTGATTGGCTGCGATGGCGCCAAGAGTGAAGTGCGCAAGTCTCTCAACATTGAGACTGAAGGTGAAGACGGATGTAGGTATTGTCTCCATCATTTGAGAATGTGCGACACTAACAGCCGACCTTCGAAGATGAGACCATGATGACGATACATTTCAACGCAGACCTGCGGCCCATCGTGAAGGAAAGAGTGGGCATGCTGCACTGGATAGTTGATCCCGCGTGTTCTGGTTTTATCATTGCATATGACCTCGGTGGTAATCAGGTATTGATCAGCAATTTTGACGTGAGACACCGAGGAATCATGAACTGCAAGTGCACTGCTAATATGACACAGTCAAATAAACATCCCGCCGAGGCGTGGAGCGAAGACCTCGCGCGCGCAACAGTTACAGCTGCAATAGGAAAGGACATACCCTTTAAAATACTCAGCTATAGGCCTTGGGTGTTGAGTCGGAAAGTGGCCAAAGAGTACAGACGCGGCAACACCTTCTTGTAAGTCATGATTGTCATACATCCACGCGAGACGTAAGCATGCTGACTCTGGATAGACTCGGCGACGCGGCGCACTCCTTCCCGCCAACAGGCGGTCTAGGCCTCAACTCGGGCCTAGCTGATGCGCACAATCTGGTCTACAAGATCGCCGCTGTGCATCAGGGGTGGGCGAAGCCGTCCATTCTCGACATGTACGAGGCCGACCGACGCCAGATCGCGCTGGTGGCCTCTTCGCAGAGCGTCAAAAACGGGAAGACCATCTTTTCGTTTTTGAAAGCCGTGGGTACAGCCGGTATTGACGACGTGGACGAGGCAAGAGCGAACATGTACAAGACGATACACGACCCTGCGAAAGAGGACTTGATAGCGCAGAATGTGGAAGGGCAGCGGGAACACTTTGACAACGTAAGTCTGAAGATATGACGTGCAGTTTTCGAATCGTGATAATGACTCCGGTATTTGACAGCTTGAAATACACATTGGATATGTATATGGCGATAAAGAACCGCCTGCAAACGCGTCACACTACACGCCAAAATTCAAAGTCGGAGCTCGGCTGCCTCACGCCTGGATCAAACTCCTCAAACCAAACAACCGCATCCCCGATAACCCAATCGACACATCCTACGTCAAAGAACTCACAAAAGATCAAGTGTCATCTAGACAATTCTCAACTCTCGACCTCGTAAGTCCGGGCGCCTTCAGTCTTATAGTGGAGACCCGTTCCCTGTGGGCGCAGCGGTTCAAAGACTTTGAAGAAGCGATGGCCAGCAAAATAGGTCCCCGCGTCTATCTTTGGGCCGAGGGCTCGGATTTCAATTTTAATAACGAGACACATCGCAAGTTATTTCATAAACAGGGGCGTCTGGCCCAGGGAGCAGCGCTCCTGGTGAGGCCGGACCAGCATATACTGGGCTGCCTGGGCCCTGAAGCCTCGGCGCAGGATATGGTTTTGACGGTCCAGGGACATTTGGGCCTTGAAAGAGCGCAGTTATAGACAGCCAGCGTGGATTCATTCATAATACAGAGCATGCGTCGTTGTTCACTGGTGAAATTGACGCTCCGAGTCAAGCGATTCCAACATCCGGTGAACAAATACCCAGTTTAGTCTTATTCCCCTTTCTTGATGTGTCATGTATTATCACTATCCAAGAATGATTGAGGGTTCCACGGTGCAACCGCAAGACCATTCCCGTAGGCTATTGTTTTCGTGAAATGTCTCATACCTCTCAGCTCCCGAGTGCGGCTGACCCAGGCCGGCTTCTCATGCGAAGCGAACCCGTCCAGAATGTAGCCGGTTTCTTGCGCCGACTTTCTCGGAGTGCTCTATCAGCTGCGCCGCCACGAAAAACAGCCACATGTGCCATACCTCCTGTGCCAGCCCGTTGACGACTTTGTCTCTGAGACTAACGTACGCATGACTTCGAGGCTAGCCGCGCCTAGTCCACCACTGCACACGAGAACTCCATAATTAGAACCGTCCGGAGAGCATTATCGATGGACAAGTCTCCGCGTGGTGGCTGCGGACTCCTGTTGCTGCCACAATTGTACGTCGACGAGAACGTTACATAGGCTGAACAGGCTATCAACATTACCGTTTTGGAAAGTCTCGCATAAACATATAAAATGAATTTGATGTCTTCTCTCCGTCCTGTTCTTAATTCATCATCTCATTCAACGCAGTCGGGTCCCAATAATCATTTTGCCCATCAAGCCTTTACGTTGTCCAAGCTCCTCACCGTATTCCGATTGCTCATTACACTTCCAGAATACTCAACATGAAGCCCTTCACTTTCGCCGCCATCTTCCTTCCCACCATCACCCTGGCCCTTCCACAGCTTGAGACCGTCAAACGCTTCACCAACGGAACAAGCAATCTAAACCCGCCACCCAGCGACATCGGTGCTGTCTGTACTCCCGCCAAATACCAGTGCCGCCATAACCCAGACAACACCTGGAGCTGGGACGTCTGCAACACCTCGTCCAAGTGGGTGAACGGCGGAAACTGTGCGCCCACTGAGACCTGCGTCTTCAGCTCCCTCAACGGGTCTCCCTACTGCGTGCCCACCCCGCCCAAGGCCCCCGCCAAGGAGACCGGAAATCAGTGCTTCTCTGGAAAGTACCAGTGCAGGTACGACGATTCCAAGGGCTGGAGTATTGAGACGTGCAACGACGCTGGTAATTGGGACCACACCCTCGACTGCGAGGCCTCTGAGACGTGCACTTATAGTCCGGTGGCTGGGTATCGTTACTGTACTCCCAAGGCAGACAGTCGTGTTTGCACTCCTGGGACGTATCAGTGCAGCTATGTTCAAGCTTGGGGCTGGGATATTTGCTCTACTGAGGGCAAGTGGGTGAGGGGTGGATCTTGTGAGACTGGGAAGACGTGCTCTTTTAACACCCTGAACGGTTCCCCTTACTGCGTATAGAACCGTTCTGACGTGTGTGATATTAGATCACGCTGGGGTTTCAATTTCTGCTTGTTTAATCTGATTTGAAAGTTGTAATACGTTCATAGTTCCGGTCCATCATGCAGCTTTTGGGGAAGCCGAATGCAATGGAGACGTTGAGTAAAGTTTTGATTGGGTTGGTACCGAATCAGTATCTGTAAAATTGATAGCAATTGGAATCGAATGATCAAATCGTCTTTTGTAGCGTGTCAAGGCTGCATGTTTGCATCCAAACTTTTTCATTTGTCCCATGACCTCCCGAGAGCCTTGAGTCTCTTACGATTCGCTCCAACACGACCGCCTGAGGTGCACCGCAACAACCTTGGCGTAACTTGGAAATGAACGGAATTTGAATCAGCATCAGCTAATGGGGCCTTGAACACGATGCTTGCAACCAAACTGCCTTTGAGCAAATCATGGCGAAAACTCATCGTGCTGTAACAGTGTGTCTTGAGAAGGACGCCTCGAATGTCCGATCATCTTCTTCAAGAACGAAGGCATGCCAGTATGAGAAGGGGGGCTACTTCATTCATATCGTCTAAGTAGGCACCGATGGGTTCCAATCCTCAACTGTGATGACGGTTTTCTTGCAAGTCTTGGGTGGATTTGATAAAAATGGAATTCTGATGTATTTTGCCATTGTAATTTTAATGACCAAGATACTGAAAGTCCCGTTTGGTCGTGTTTGAAGAACTTTCTGCATCCCACAGAGCCGAGATATTTGCTGCGATGAGTGCATTCATATCATGGATAATAGGCTTCGTAGGTGGCTGCCATCCCAGACTGAGAGGAAGTCTCTCGTTCTCAACCCAGTAGCGCACAAGCGTCTTGTTCGCATCACCATAATCCCCAAAGGCCGACAGCAAGAGCGCGTACTGCAGAAGCGAACCGCTTCTCGCAAACGTGGCGTTGAACTCGGGGTTGAACTTCTCTCCCCACTCGAATCGAGCCTTGATTTCCCGGGCAGCAGCGGCGAACTGTTATTATTCGTTTAGCTGAAACCTTCATGAAAGCTTTACAAATGACTGTTACTGACATCGATAATGTCAACGTCACCCCATCCAGCCAATGTGCGTCCCCAAGCAGCAGGGCTGAAGTGAAGAGAGTCTCCAAAGTAGGCGTCGTCGCGCGTCAGGCTACCGTCGTGCTCGATGACTTGAGGCATGTGTTGGTTGACGTCGCTGAGGTGAAAGGTTGACGCATTTCCCGTAGTCGAAGTCTTTAACGCAGGAATACCAACAAGAAGCATCGTCTCGTGGTCCATATTAAATCCGAGTGCAGTGGCCGCTCCGAGCACATCCAGGTCGATATCGCGACCATCTCGAGGTAAGAGTCCGTGGTTGGCTAGGGCGTTGATTCCAGGGCAAGGTGATCGCAAGTCGCCCGGTTGAGGAGGCTGCCAAGGATACAGGTCCTCGGTCAAGGTGGCCAAGACACCGACCGAAGCCATGCAGGCTTGGAGGAACATCAACCGAGACCCCAGCATATTGAAGAAAAATGAGCGACAGTGATTAGACTACAAGTAAACTTTCATGCTGGGACTTGTCCTTTCATGTAGTATTTGTACCTAAATCTCTAGCCAAGCCTACTAGGGTCGGAAGTACCGTTGCACAAAAGATCATATCGACGATTAGCCGGTGGGAGAGTTTTCTAGCTGATTAACATCAATTAATGTCAATGTTATTGGGTCAAGAAGGCGGCGAATACGGGACAGGGGCAAAACTGGCAAATGAAAATGTCGCCATTACTAGACCATTGCAAGTAATGGCTCCGGTTGATGACATGCATCCTAGGTGCCGGGAGCGGCCGCTACTCGGACCGGTGTAGGTGTGATTACACCATTTAACAAGATTTCCGTCTTACGAGTTACGGCTTTTAGATGTTGCGTCAACAGGGTTGCATCTGGATGCCGAAAAGGGGAAACGTTTCCTTCTACCGGCGCATAGGCGGATCGCCTTGCGCGCGGCAGTGATCTCCTGCCTAACTGAGTCAGGGCGGTGGGGTTCTTTACAGGGCGGTCAACCATGTCACCCTGTCTTTCTCCCACGATCCCGGCATTCGGGCTGGGAATCCCCGAGTCTGTCTTACGATTAGGCTGCGAGATAGAATCTGACATGGAGAGATGGTCATGGTTCAAGAGTAGTCCATAATTCACAAATGTAGATGTTGCCTTCTGGCACCAGTCACAACAGCATGAGATGTTTCTCTGGAGAGCACCATTGGATAAAGATGGGTCCATTCGTCAGAACTAAACAAAACGCCAGGTTTGGAGGAATCCGTGACCATGAATGGGAAGTTTCGCCTGTTTCTATGGAATTCCAGGATCAGGTCATGTTCTTCCGAAATTCATATTAATTGCAGAACAGGTAGGATCTGTAAGGTGCTCGGCCGGTTTATCTACTACAACTGGGCTATATAGCCACCGTCGAACTATCAAATCCCCTCAGTACTTTGGCCCACGTAAAGGCCGAACGTCTCAAGACTTGCTCAGCATCTGGCCCAGCGAACGATGACGTTCCAATTGTCCTTGTGGAAAGCCTGGCCAGCGACTCTGGTGCTCTCGCCAACACGGCACTTCTTGATGACATAGAGCGCGCCATCAGAGATCTCGCGGAAGGAGTTGAGCTCCTTGGCCTTGGTGTCCTTGATCCACTTGTCAGCTGGGTCGCTCGGCAAATGATTGAAGTCGAGGTCACTTACATCGTTGCACCACCAAATTGCCGAGTTGTAGCTGCAAGAGACACGTCCGCTATATGTTTGTCAGCAATTTGGGGAAGAAAAATTCGTACCAGAGTGGTTGGCTAGAAACTTACCAGCTGGCAGGGCCGGCACCCCTGTGAGGCTTCCCATCGACACCGTCGAGATGGGAGATTCCCTCGCGAATGCGGGCGGTGTTCGCGAGTTCCCAGCCGTCACATACAGTTGCGGCTCCCTCAAAGTCGGCCTTGGGACGCACAATGTCGGTCAGCCCAGACTCGGTGACGTTCCCAATGCCGAAGTCCTCGTCATAGTTGGGGTTGATTTTGCGAAGCTCGTCCAAGACCTGCTCTACAGTCCCGCCAATGATCTGAGTCTCTCCTCCGGGGAAGGCCTGGACCTCCCACTCAGGAACGTAGACACTGTAGCCTGTGATCGGGGCTTGAGAGGCGGTGCTACCGATGGTGGCAGCCTGCGGTTACAAATTTAGTGGCCAGTCAAATGAACCTCTGGAATGAAGTGATGCTCTCACCTGAGCCGCAAGAGCGGTAAGAGGAAGAAGAGCGATAGCCTTGAGAAGCATTGCGAAGGATAGAATCTGTACGGTCTCTAGGTGTGATGTGAGCGATCTTCGTAATTTGTGTGAAAAGAAGAGAAGAATCCGCAGATCATTTCAAGAAAATAAATATCCCTTGCGGTGAACCTCGTGAGTCAGTATTATTAACTTGTGGTGACTTGTGGTATTCATTCACCGGGCACGCTCTTGGGTTCGTGGTGATTCACTCTACCCCAGTAATGCACACTCTACCCCAATAATGCATTGCCAACAGGACAATTCATGCCTTCAGACCTCGGGATTGGTTCATCTGATCGCTGGTGCTTTCAATCGAAGTGTTGAATGACAAGAACCACACATCGGGCTGCTTTAGTTAATCAATTATATCGGACGTGTTTTACTGCCAACATATTATATGCCAGCGTGTGCAACGTGACATTAGCTGACTAGGACCCAAGCCTCAAACATTGGCACAAAGTCTTTCTTTGTTTCTCTTGGCAGGACTCCAATGAACGTTACCTAACTGAATACTTGAAGATATGGCGATAAATTTCTTCAGCTTGAGTGATGAACTTTAACACTGCCTACGTCTACGGTGCTATACCTTCTCAACCAATGAAAGAGGTTGCATCTTTAGCACCCTGCACAGGAGAGTCCCTTGACTTCAAGAGCTCTGCCATTGTTCCTCAACATCAGATCCAGCCCAGTACCAGAGACTGGTACAGCCCACCGCCTTGTCTCGTCACCGAGAGATGTTCTGAAATAGACCAAATCACCCAAATTGTACCAGATAGCCAAATGCATTACCTCGCAGCTGTAGCCCTTGCTCGCTTCGGACATGTGTCAGTGATGGCGGGGGCGGGGCCGGCGGGCGTAAATGGGGCCGCTAACGACTTCCCGACTCTACATGCCGGGGGTGTTTCGGGGAATTCGGTGGTTGGACGGACGTCTCAAGTCGCGACCAAAGCGAGGAATAGTTAATCGTATTACCCCGCAACACCCTCCAGATCAACTACTCCATACCTCATGGGGAACAACCTACCTCGGATAGTCCGGGTAATCCTACTGCGATCGGCCAGTAAGGAGATGCCTATTGGGAATTCGGGCCCTCGGGACACCGAACAGCCACATTTAAAGAAGACTTCGCTTGTTTAGTTCTTGGAGAAGCCTGTCGTCTCTGAAGCTTCGATAGCTGCGTCGTTTATCAACTGTGCTCAACATGAATGACATCGTGGACCAAACGAGCTCGTTTTCGCTACTGGGGGCTCTCAAGTTTGCACCAGTCATCTTCCTTGCTTTGTGGGTTGTCTATCAACGTTACTTCTCATCGTTTGCTGGCATCCCGGGACCATACTGGGCCAGCCTCTCGCGAGGATGGCTTGCGTACCACTCATACAAAGGAAACCTTCATGTGATCATGATGCGCCTCCATGAAATCCATGGCAAGGTGGTTCGGATCGCACCTAATGAAGTGTAAGTGAGCAAGAATCATGCATTTACCCAAGAAAGGCTACTGATAGACATAAAATGCAGGAGCATCTCGGATCTTACGTCAATCAAGACAATTTACGGCAAGTCGTTCTGATCTGGGCGGGGTGCGATGAAGCTAACCGGCGTAGGTGCTGGGTCAAAATTTCGAAAGTCCGACTGGTATAGTGTTTGGCAAGGACGACGCAAATTCGACCTGTTTCCTGAACGCGACGATGCGATCCATGCTGCCCAAAGACGACTGGTCAGCAGACCATATGCTATGTCCACTTTGAAGGAGCTGGAGCCATATGTGGACAGCGCCATCCATGTTCTATTCGATAAGCTTAACGAGATGGTGGGACAAACTGTGGATATGGGCAATTGGGTTCAGCTCTATGCCTTTGGTAAGCGCAATGCCAAGAACGCCTGCTTCAATAAGCCTCGCGTTTGCCCGTGTGACTTCTAGCTGACATATTCTAGACGTAATTGGCGAGGTTACATTCTCCAAGCGTTTCGGCTTCATGGACGTTGGTTCAGACGACGGCTCTTTCAAACAGATTGAGAATGCCTTGCAGTCGGCTGCTTGGATTGGCCAAGTTCCTTGGCTCTACTGGCTTCACGATTACTTATCCCCTGTCGTCGGTACATGGCTCGGTATCGCCTCTCGACACGGCAGCTTAAGGAAGTTCGCAGCACGCGAGGTGGCTGCTAGGCAGGACCGTGGATCCGACCACCAGGATATCCTTGGGAAGCTTCTTGCTGTGCACCATGACAAGCCTGATCAATTTGATAACTCGGATCTGGTCTCCATGGCGACGTCGAACATCTTCGCCGGCAGCGATACGACAGCCATTTCCATCCGTGCAATTATCTACTACATGCTGAAGTATCCCGAGGCCAAGAGGAAGCTTGTTGAAGAGGTCGATACCCTCTGGCAGCAAGGAAAGCTCAGTGACCCCGTTACTGTCGCTGAGTCTGAGAAAATGCCGTATCTCCAAGCTGCCATGTACGAGGCGTTGAGGTTGCACCCAGCTGTTGGCATGACCCTGCCGCGCGTTGTTCCCAAAGGCGGATATGAGATTGATGGACATTTCATGCCGGCTGGAGTAAGTTCTTTGTCGGCCTTGATTTGAGTAGAGAGATGTTTGCTGACCATGATCGTGCAGTCCGTTGTAGGAGTGAACCCGTGGGTTGTCCATCGCAACACAACAGTCTATGGCCAAGACGTACATTCTTTCAGGCCTGAGCGTTGGCTGAAAGAGGATAATGGCGACCTGCGTAAGCTACGTGGTACCAATACCTCCTTCAATCGCTGACATTACTGTGACAGACCGCTTTTTCTTCGCATTCGGTTCCGGGGCGCGAATGTGTATAGGCAGAAGTAGGTCATCAGCGGAAACTTCCTTTTACAACCTGATTGCTAAAATTTGACGATAGATATCAGTTGGATGGAGATGGCAAAGGTGAGATTCTCCGCCCAAACTCTTCAGAGCGTTCAATGACCAATTTTGTGCTGACCATGTGGCAGCTCATCCCTACTCTACTTCTACATTTTGACATCGAATTGGTCGACCCGGATGCTTTGTTGGAGGAAAAGTGCCAGTAAGTTTTCGATGTTCCATCGGTCACCATGAAAGCGTCTAACATTATCTTTAAGTTGGTTCGTCTCGCAGAAAGGTCTCAATGTTAGGCTTCGCAGGAGACCATCCCCGTCCGCGGTGTGAGATAAGGTTGGCTCGAGTTGACCGCCAAGAGCCTAGCCCTTTCTTTCTCTCAGTTTGACATGAACGCCTTCCACAGAGTTCGGCGCCAGCTCAGGATGTATCCCCGGCAATACAGATAAAAATGAACGAAAATTTCTGCACCAGAGTGGTTAAATTGTCTTCGTGGTGGTTCCCGCGCGCACATGCCTGCCGACTTCCTCCCTACTGGAAACCATATTCTTCCAACTTCCCTTCCAGTCCTTTACTCCAAACTGAGGCCATGAACGTCTTCCCTTCTACGACTCCAACCACATCTCGTTCTCCTCTGTCCTCGAATCCCATCCGTTGGAACATTTTCTTCGCTTTGTCGTTCTCTGGGCCAGTGAGGCCAAGAAACCCCTGCTGCCCTCTCTCCTCTTCAAAATACTTCATCAGTCTCTGGGCAGCCTCCGTGGCATAACCTTTGCCTTGGTATCTGTCAAGGAACGAAAATCCAAGATCGGGTGCGGTCGGACCACCTCCAGGATATCTAGCCAGCTGCATCGTGACGCAGCCGATCGGCTCAAGAGGGCGTTGTGAAAAGGGAATAATTGAGCTATCCTCGTCGACGGCCTCAGGCTTGAGCGAGACCAGATACCTTCCCCAGCCCAACTTCTCCATCCGCTCGAGGCGGGGTAAGATGTGTAGCTTCGCAATTGCCTCTCGTTTTGGCATGGTTCTTGACAGCTCGTCAAGCTTGGCACTCCCTCGGTCGCTCATGTACTCGACGAAGAAGTCGCAGTGGATATCATTAGAAGGATTGACGTGGGAGATGTACAGGCGCGGGGTGCTTAGGTGCCAATCGTAGTCAAGCATTTTGCTGGTCGTTTTCGGACAGGATGAACTATGCTGCAAAGCGGTGCGGGGGGGTTCATGGGATTGGAAAGTTAAATGTGGTCACTTCGGTGTGACGAACTGAAATAGCACGAATAATATGTGCGACAACGTGATGTGTCTTTATGGATTGCACCACAGATGGATCATATGTTCCACAAAGAATTGGGGGGTGGCTGTAGGCAGGTAACGTGTGTACGTCAACGGGACTTTTGTATGTCATCCACCAGGAAGGTCTCCACCGTTTTTATCAACCTTATTCCCGCGTCTTTGATGATCTGCCCTAGAAGTGAATGCGGTCATCATTAGGGCGTTACAAAACACGAAACCCTTGAACAGAGCGCAAATTGACTCAAAAGTTCTTATTAACAGTATCAGTGCATATATACTTAGTTATGGTCATTCGCACGTTTTTTCTGTTTCACCTCTTCAGCGCATCCTAATGAGGTGATCTCATAACATATTTCAATACCCGATAATGAAAATTGGCTGAATCGAACAGTTCCTCAAACTGGGAGTAGGACACAAGTACCTCCGGCGATGCACACATCTCCAATCGTGTCGGTCCCAACGACTCCCTCGCGTTTTCTGTGAAGGAAAATGGTTTAGGGAGGCCTTCTTCGGGGTGGTGGTGGAGGAGGTCGTCGCGCAGGCGGTCTCGGCGGAGGTCGCACTTGGACACGAGGAGGCTGAGGCGGTACGGCCAGAGGAACTACGACTGCCGGCGCCGGTCGCGGGCGCGGGCGAGGGCGTGGACGCGGGCGTGCTGGTGGCTTTATGTTCGCACGAGCTTGCAATCCCTCTCCGATGACCTGCACAGTGGTTAGAACCGTATCAATGCCTAATCTGGAGATGGTATTACTTACGGCAACATCTGGGCTGTCCACGGCTTCATTCCTCTGTACCAGAAGCCAGTGGTATTAGTACTAGTGAAATGTCTCGTGGAAAACTCGCAGTGTGCAAAGCTCACCTCATTGAGGTCCTTCGTGTCAGTCACTGACTGCACATTGGGAACCGCAAGGCCGATTGAGACGTAGCAGGCCAAGGCCACAGTGGCCACGTGCTGAAGAGAGGGAACAAGCATAACTGAGCCTAATTGTAATGGTGTTGTTCAGTGGGAAAACATGGGCGGATGGATAATGGTGGCCTCAAAGCTGGAGAAAGGGGGAAAGACGCTCTGAACTTATATCTCTTGACGTCTCCATTTCTGGACACTTCAGGCCTCGTGGCTTCCTGATTGACGCCTTGAGAAACTCGTTCATGTGAATTACTAGATTCGCCTTCAACCGATCTCCAGCTCATCATTCCCGTGCCTGGACCAGCTTAGACTTTCCAACTTGAAGTTTCAACATGAAGTCTCTGCGGCCAAGAACGAAGATCGAGAGGGGGTTGTCGTTGTGGACATGGAGTCACCATGAGGCTCTCTCACCGAGAACGAATTACACCAACCGAGATCCTAGCATCTTGGCGGGCAATGCGATATCCAATTATCCACTCCCTGACCCGCCGACAGGGAACGATCTTCATACTCGACGATCATATCGTGAAGAATCAGATGCGACGAAAGTTTGTTGTTTCCTGCACGGACGAACAATAACCGCGCGAGCTCTTCAGCCGTCCCATGTTCGGAAATGATTTTGTGAGAGGCAGCATGGGAAGACAGTTGAACCCCTTGGGCAAAAAATTCACTTTTTCTGCCATCGTTTCGTTTTATTGCCATGGATGGCTATTATGGCGAACGGCTCGTCACAGGGTCTGGTTGTTGACGTTGTGCTATTGCCGGCTCATTGGAGCGATCGCCACCGATAGAGTCCGCGGCGTATCGAATGACACCTTTGACAGCCACATACACTCCGTTGCGTTGACAGCGTCCGCCCCCCTTTTTTTTCCCCGCTTATGCAAAAACATGAAAAAAAGCCAATTTTACGCTGTGACGCGCATTTCTCTGCATCGCACGCAAAACGCGTCAAAGTCATCACCAACACCTCAATTGCCGTCAATCACTATAGTCCCAGTAGTATTCAAACGTATAACTACACGATAGAGACATAAGGTGTGTATTTCATGCTTCCGTAGCAGTCAATCTACCCATCGAGGCATTGCCAACCCAGCTAGTCACCTCATCCCCATACCATTCGACCAACAAAAGGTCTATTTTCGTCATGAGAGATCAAGATGACATTTGCTGAGGAACAGAAGAAGAGACCTGCTGTATGACTTTATATATCTACTCAGCATACGGTTTGTATGGCTCTGAGTAATATATAAGCATACCAAGGGGCTTGATACGGTTCTTCAGAGCAAATGCTTTGGCAGTCAACAGGATTAATGACTCTCCTGATAGCTCAGCTTGTTCACGATATTGAGCAAGAGTCTACTGCTGTATAGATTGTGCCCTGTTACTTACAGTTTGCCGCTGGTCAGTACATGTCCGTGGTTTATTATATCAGATACATCGAGAAAGACGCCGGGCGACGACGACGATACAATGGCGCCCAGAATATCGAATCTACAGCTATCGACGATCGCGATGATACTGCCATTCGAAGACCAAAAGACCCACGAGCTGGCAAGTATCGTTGGCTGTACCGAACGAACGATTCGACGACATAGATCACGACGTAATATCACTGGCGAAGTGCAGAGATATAAGAGGTGCCGCCAGAGTCGACAAAAGATGGAAATATGGCATCGTACAGAGCTTCTTGAACTACTGCAGTACCGCAGCGATCTATCTCTTGAAGAGATGCAAGATTTCCTATTTGAAGCCTTCGAGATCCAGATCAGTCGTTCTGCAATCAGTCGACAGTTAAACTCAGCTGGCTGGACGAACAAGAAGTCCAAGATTATTGCTGCTCAGCGAAGTGACGAACTACGATACGAGTACTTGTACCGTATACGACGATATCGCCCCGACCAGCTGGTATTCGTCGACGAATCCGGCGTCAATAAGGATACTGGGATACGGAGGACTGGATGGGCGCCGAAAGGGCTTGCTGCGTTTCGAACTGCAGAGATTGATCGGTTTCAGAACTCTCGCGTACAGATCCTGCCAGCCCTCACGTTGAGCGGTATCCTACACTTGACTACGTATTATGGTACGACTGACGGCGATGGGTTCTTTCGTTGGCTACAGGAGTGCCTTATCCCGAAATGTGGGCGTTTTCCAGAGCCAAACTCTGTCATCGTTATGGATAACCTCTCCTGCCATCGTATACCTGAAATCGAGGGTTTATGCCGGGTATCAGGTGTCCATCTCGAGTTTCTGCCTCCGTATTCACCAGACTTCAACCCCATCGAAGAGTACTTCGGCGATCTAAAGCGATACATCAGGAAGACGTATTCGAAGTGGAACAACGATGAGAATGACACTCGGGATTTCATGGAATATCTACGTGACTGCGCTATGGAGATTGGGTATCGTCTACCCCAGATCGAGGGCCATTTCCGCCATTCGTTCGTCAACTTTGATGGGACAGAGCATATATTTGACGATATCGAACTATAAAAGGGAGGATTTGCTGCCAATATTGAACATCAGCAAGCAATCCAAATTTTCATCGTGCGTTCGCGCGCAATAGATCTTAATCGTGTCGTCATATGATGGTCAATCATCAAATCCATGATTGTAGCCAACAAGATTGCCAAAAGGTTAGCCACAAGCGCACCAGAACACAAAAAATATACCGTCGTCCATTGTTTTCGTCGGTAGCTACGTATACATATCAATTTTGCCTGTATAACGGCTGAAACGCGTTGTTGATGCTTGTGACGATGATTTGTGATGATGACACGTCATCACGATCAGAGACTTCAACCATAGTCAGAGACTTCAACTGCCCCTAACCAGTATCGGGATGGACCGAAGTGTATTGTTTGCAGATCCAAAATAACAGTAATTCTATTGCTTTTATACGTATAGAGCGGCAGTGTTGAATCTACGGCTATGGGTAGACTTTTCCGTGGTTGAACACGTCATGCAAAAAAATCGCGCATACAGTCAAACTTCACACCACTCTTGCTGTATCACTCTTCTTCGTTATCCTCCTCCGAGTAATACGTCTCTGTTGACGACGTATCACTCGAGATTTCAATCTGATTGTCCTCATCGCCTTGCTCGATTTCGTCTTGTTCGATCTGTAACTGCGTGGGCAGCATCTGCGACGCTGACAGCAGTGGTGACGAAACGAAACCAAAGAGTTCCGAAACGCCTACAAAGTTAGCCATATTCGACAGTAAACAGCTCTATATACACTCACCACGTCGACCAACTTCAACTGGCGTACCACGGATCTCTTGCTCGATGGATTGACGTGGCACTAGGGCGTCGATATGTCGGGATGACCCCAACTCGCCTGAAACTAGCGCCGCAGAGTTTTCAACTGGCGCCGCCGCCGTCCCTCCTGGCAATCCAGCGTATATTCTTGTATAAACATCTCCTTCTGACTCTCGATGGTTTGAATGAAGTTCAGAGTGAGATACCACGTCGGAGAGGGCGTCAGACTGCCCTCCGTAGTAGGCGCTGTTGTCTATGAAGGATTTGATCGAGTTCCTGACATCTTCGGTAAGATCTTGAGTAAAACCCTGTTCAGTAAACCAAATATCTGGTAACTTGCGAATTGCCCGCAAGCTACTGTCTACTGATCGCAGTTTCTGTAGCTTCTTTCTGAACCCTTCGTCGACGTTATATCGCTTGCCGCGGACGGATATAAACCACTTGATGAAGCTGGCCACTTGATCTAGAGCTTTTCGAGGCGAATCCGGTACCACTGGCGAGGACGAACGAATCGGGAGTGCGATACTTGGTTGACGAGTGCTTGGAAGGTTCAATGGCGGAAGAGTTGGCAACGAATACTGTGAGATGTTCGCATATGGCCAATATGCCGGCGGCGGCGGCGCCGGCGGCGGCAGCTGTACGTATGGGTTAGGATATTGAAGATGACGATCTGGCGCCCCCGCGTTGCCGTATATATTGACGATGGCGTTGCTGTTGGCGTTGGTTAGGCCAGATCTTGACCCTGATGATGGAAGTGCGGCATTTTCAGCCTTCTCTTCCGTCATCACTGTCGTCTCCTGGTTATCATCAACCTCCACGATATTCTTACTTCTCTTGCCCTGGCGTTTCTGATCCTCTATAAACTGGTCGTGAAGAATCTCACCAAGCAGTTCTTTAGGTGGTTCCATATTGTCAACGCCAGCCTGTCCAGTCATAATAGCCTTCGCCCACTTCTCTATATGGTGAGATTTGATCTTGTAGTGCTTCTGGCCTAGTATATAGCACCAGTTGAACTTCTCGTCGCCCGAACTATTCTTACATCTCTGGTACTCTGGGCAGATGTGCGTACGGAGAAGTTGTCTGTGCATACCCTCCTTCCGACGCTCGACGTTTGCAGGATCGTTAGCCTCACGATCGATCGCCTCTTGCATGCCGGCTGAAACGCCTGCTCGGCCACCTTTTCGAGGCGTTCGTACGCCAGTCACTATACCACCAGAGATTGGTACGGCGCTGTATTGCCACTTGACGGTGAGGTGGACTTCACCCCTCTCTTCAGCTTGTTCAAGAGAGGGGACAATATCAACCCATGGAATACTTGGCCAAGTGACCCCTCCAGTAGACGGATAGACCCGAGTGAAGATTGGTGTTGGTTTAGATGCGTTGGTGGGCTTCCTCCAAGCAACGACAACAGCGATATTGGCCTTCTTCACAATATACGAGTGAGCCACTTCTGCCTCAAGTTGGGCGCCGCTGTCTGCCTCCCAGTCTCTACTATTCGCATCTAATACAGGAGCAATACTGAATCTGTTATACGCGATGCTCTCGATGGTTAGATCGAGAACAGGTAAACCGTTACCCTTGAGCGCTGGGCCACGGGTAACCTGGATTTGTAGCAGAGTTGGTTCCTCGTTACCCATATCGTCCTCCTCTTCAAATACATCGTGGAACGACATAAACGTATCATCAGCGCTATGGCGAGGGGCCGTAGGCGTATCGTCCGCAAATCGAGTGGTTTGACGAGGGGTTGGGTTAACTGGGGTCGAGTCTGGTCGAAACGGTGGCATCGACGAAGGCAGAGTACTTCGGAGCCGGATCGTATGCGGCGGATCCTTCTTTCGCTTCCTCTGCGTTGTCGTTGCTTTTTGGCGAGAGGACGCTTTTGGAGCTCTTCGTGATGACGGAGGGGCTATAAGTACACGCTTTCTTCGCGATGTAGACTCAGCCGCCACCAAATCATTAGTCTCGGGTCCAGCCTCGGCGACGATAACCTCCTCGGCGGCCTCCTCGGCGGCCTCTTCGGCGGCGGCAGCCCGGCGAGCCCTCTCGGCGGGCGTAACGATCCTGATCGACGGCGAGGCAGAGCGTTGAGGAGGATCTCTGGCGGCGTCCTGTGCCAGTTGTTGTATACGTCGTTGTTTCCGCGTACCGTTGGCGATGGGTGACGGACGATGCCCAGAAGGGTCATCATCCGCCTGCCGAGCCGCGCGGCGGCGTTTAGGAGGCATCACGATGCCCTCAGATAATGAGATTCAATAGAAATAGATCAATTGAAGCCATCAGAATAGGTCAATTGCCGTACTACGAATATCTACGTGGCGTTGGGCAAATTTTCATGTATATACAGGGATTATGCGTGCGTAATTTCGGCAAAAAGGGGGGGCGGACGCTGTCAACGCAACGGAGTGTAATAACCTCATGTTCTAGGGGTACATTTGGCGCAACCTTACTTAGTCCCAATGTCGCCATTAACGGCTTTTGCGCATGCAGGCTAGCGAATAAGCATGTCTTTCTTTTTGCTCCGCGCTGCACGCGCCGCAACGCCCGCGGGACTCGTATTCCACTTCTTCCGGCCCCTTCCCCGCAAACCATCCCACCAGCCATTCTGTGTCGGGTATAGGGGCATTCTTTGTCAGACGTGAATCAGACGAGGCTGGAGTTTATTCCCACTTGGCTCGCTGATCAATAAACCAAAAATCCACATGCCGACATGCAGCCGCGGGAAGTCAACTGAAACGAATCACCAGAGAGGGGAAATGAGAGGGAGTTTATGCAGCCAAGAGAGAAGCCAAGAGCATCTAGACTGATTCTCGAGAATGAGGCTGACAATGAAGTCGGATTAAGTTGACGAGAACGATAGTAGCACCACTTAATGCTGAAGCTATGGCCAGACTTCATGTCTGAGTGATCACCGGTGTCGTGCATGCTAATCCTAGGTCTTTCATCACTACCAGCTCGTCAAAAACTTCTGTTACGGGTGGAGTTTCCGATCGCGAAGGGCCGCTGCGGGATGCCGGGGTGGCCTCCCGTGGGATGAGATGGGATCTTCGACCGTTTCGGAGTCACTGCTCATCACGGGGCTAATGAGCTTTTGCGCCGGCCGAAAAGCACTGGCTGTGTGAGCAAGATCTGGCGTGCAGGTGTTTCGGAGTGCGACGTGAGGCGAACTCAGTAGGTGTGGGCTGGGAGTAAACGCAGATGTTGAAACCGTTTTGGGCTGTGACCATTTGAGCTTAGCCTAAGCTCTGTTTCTACGACGACCGATTAAACCTCGGCGGAACATTCTCCCAATTGGGCTTTAGGGAAATATTGTGCGGATGATGTTTCTCGAAGTCTACAACGTCTTTGCTGTGCCAATGAATGCAAGAGCAAACATAGAAGCTGGTGCGAACTGTACATTGTAGCACTTCCAAGAAAGATCCCGTGACTACTTATGACGTCCATCTTGGTAACCGATTTGACACTCCACCGTATCAAACCCAATGATCCAAAGTGCCGGTAGGTACAATCCCAAGGGAACTGCACCGTGCACTCAACACCACTTTACCGTCAATGGAGTTCGGCAATGAACTGCATCCTTCATGAGACCGAGCTCGCCGAGTCTGGCGGAAATACGAGCCGAATATCTTCTATTTGGAAACGAAACACGATGGTCAACATGTGGCCGAATAATGGTGAGGCACTTGGGTTTCCGCAAGGGCTCGCGTTTTCTTACCAGTTCCATCAACTCACGCTCGGTCCCACAGCCGTCCCATGGCGCGTGCGGCGGCGAAAGTAGATATTTTGAAGACGACGGGTAAGTCTAAACGAGCAAGAATAGAGTCCAGATTCTTCCTCTGCATGCCAAGATCCGAGATTTGGGTCAAAACAAGTCGGATGATTGCGAATCTGAGGTCTGGCATGAGACCCTTGCTCTGAAAATGTCTTGGCCGGTCAGCCGTTACGAGTTGACTGGCATTACTGGGAACTGTGGCGTGACAATGGTCAGAGCCTAGAAACATCTGGCGAGAATTGTGCTCCTTTACTGCTTTGGGCAAAGCAATTGGTTGTCAGCCGACCAAGATACCCATGTTTTTTGAGTTTGTAGTTATGACGCAGCCCCCCTGCAAAAAGACTATAGCAAAATTCACCCTATACGCGGGCACAATTCTGGAAACACTATATAAGCACCTTAACTTATACTCTCTACTAATTAAAGAAAATAGTATAGAAACCCTATATATTCCTACTAGTAAGTAAACCCTTATATAAAGTTAAATGTATACCTTAGCTAAATAGACTAGTGGAATAGTAATAGCGCTAACTACATAGCGTGGGGCTAGTAGTGTTATATATAGTAGGGCTAATTATATTAAAGCTAAAGGGGTTATTAAGGCTCTTATAGCGATAGCTTTACTAAACCTTTTAGTAAGGTACTATAAATACTATTAAATAGAGATAACTCTTTAACTAAAGAGGTTATTATAAGAGGTTCTTATAGCTAGAAGTATAAAAAGTTCTACTACTATATATAAAGCTTTATATCCTTCTTTCTTCCTCTATAACTTATAATAAATCTTTTATAATATTTATACTATATAAGGAATATAAGAATATTAACTTCTTATAAAGTATACCTTTCTATAAATAAATAGCTAAAAGTATTATTATATAGAATAATATCTATATACTAAATAAAGCTTTTAAATTTAGTAATTACTTTTTTACTAATTAGTAGTATATTATTAAGGTAGCTATAGTTAGAGCTTTTATAAATACTTTTAGAGGGGACCCTCTATATATTATAATTAAAGTAATAGATAATAGCTTTATATACTTTTATATAGAGGTTATATATATTTCTAGCTATTTTAAAGAGTAGCTCTTCTTTATATAAACCTTCTATAATACTAAAGTAGAGGTAGCTTAAGCTTAAGCTTAATAGAGCTTATTAATAAGTATCCTTTATACTAAATAGAGAGAGCGTTACTAATAATAGTATAGCTACTACTAAGCTTATTAGCTTAGCGTACTACTTTATTTATAGATAATATAAGGCATACTAAAGATGTTAGCTAGCCTAATTAAATAAGAAGAATAGTAAATAGCAAAGTAGTAATAGAGATAGTATTTAATAGTAGTGTGGGTAATATATAAAAGAGAGGATAAGTTAATAGTTTAGTAGTTAGTAATTAAGTAATTAAGTAATTATAAATTATATTGTTGCTGAAGTGAAGTTAAAGATAGTGAAGTTATGTGTATATATAAGTGCGGCTGAGGTTAGGAGAGGATTATGTAACTGAAGGCTGTGTGTATTGTTAGGAGGCGTGGAGTTAGGAGGTCTGTCGCTCTAAGCAGGTAAAAATCACAGTGAACGGCCAGAGGCCCAAGATACCTATGTAAGCCTGGTGAACCTAATGAAGAAACTGTTGAGGTCCTGAAAATCAATTTTCGTAGTATTTTGTTTCCCCCCTCTTTTGTGGTTTCTGATGCCTTCCTAACTACTTTATATCTTCGCTCCCCCCTCAACGTCTGATTGAACATGCATTGATCATTGTCGACTTCTGTAGTGAGACTTCACATTATATACAGCTTATGTATTTGGTGCGCACGAGACATACGTAGGATTTGCCCAGTATAAAAATGACGGGCGTTAAAAAATTACAGCAGAAGATACATAGGATGATGGGTATCTAGTTTGTAATTACTGTCTATCGTCAACTATTATTTCTTGGCAAGTTGACATTCCGGCCTGAACAGGCCTGCTGAAAATTCCTGAACAAGGAGAAGGCGCTTCTCCTGACTTGCTCACAGTCATCCAATTCTGGAGACTGGGCCACATCAGTGACCGTTATTCGGTCCCCGCCTGCCCACCAGGTATGGAGAAAGCCTTTCAGGTGCAAGCTAGTCTGGCTCGGGTGTTATTCCGGTCCCAGGCTCACCTAGTCATCCATATACACCTCCGATGAGATTACCACCGAATTCGTGTCGGGGATTATTGCGCATCGTGAAGCAACAGATAGCGCGACTGGCTGGTGTTCCCTGGCTTTTGACGGCCCTTTCTATCCTTGCTTCAGCTTCGTCATGGAATGGCAAGCTTCGAGCCCGACTCATGAACTTCGGCGGCCATATGGCTCGAATGGGAACAGAGCTGAAACCACTGCCATCAGTCCAAAGAGCGCCGCGCAGACGTACAAAGGCACGGCACTGGCGGTGTTTCCCGATGAAGCGACGAAGGCGGAGACAATGCCCATCAAACGGTTGAAGGCTACAGCAATGCCGTTGCCAGTCGCACGGTGAGCGGAAGGGAATACTTCGACAGTGTATGCGTAGAGGGTGCCATAGTAGATATTGATACCAAATGCTGCATGCATCGTCAGTTTTGGGCATTCTACATTTCTGCAATGCTTATGAACACTCACCAATTGCACAGCTGATGCCTACATTCTGCGCTGGAGTGCTCACGGCCGTGTACCCGAAGAACAGCGCCATGGAGATTATGGCTCCGATGACCATGGTATACTTGCGACCGACCTTCGGGATGTTGGCAAGAATACCAGCCAGGATCGGTCCAGGAACGCCCGAAATATTTGTCAAAGTGAAGTTGCGCCAAGTTTCATAAGGCGTCTCCTCAGCGTCAGGGACTCGAGTGGAAAGATAAGATCTGCAACTCTTCAGCTTCTTTGTCACTCATGCACCAACTTGAAAGTACTAACGGGAGGAAAACATAGAACAGTGGGTACGCCAGACCGATCAGCGTCCATGACATCCAGACCATGGAAGTGCTACGGCTCATCTTCTTGGTGACGAAGAGGCCCTTAACGTGGGCACCCAACTCACGAATGACGAACTTGAAACTGTTACGCTTCTGCCCGGCAGACTTGATTTGCCCGCACGCCTCAAGCTTCTCAAGAGTGAGCGAACACGGCCTGTTGTACTTTTGCGCCAGTTTCTGGTAGTTGCGGACCAGATCCTCGTCGCGACCGACGCTGAGAAGGTACTTCGGTGTTTCTTGCAGGCGCATGATGGTGACGCGCAGAATCGAGGCCACAAAGACAAAAGCGCCCGAGGTGAAGGAAACGTATCTCCAGCCGGCGTTAGTTGACCAGTTACATGGCTGACCTTCAACGCAGTTCCATCGCTCCTGAGCTGAAGATATGTCAGCAACACAAACGTCTTCAGCTTATGTGACAAGTATGAGCTCAGAACTCACTCAAGAATCCCCAACTGATGAAGCCAACGATGGCCTGGCCCAATCCCCACCAAAGAGCGAGAGCCGTCACAGTCCATTGCTTGTTGCTAGGGAGAAACTCGAGAAACACCGTCGGGTCAAGGACCAAGTTTCCACCCGCGCCAAATGCCGAAATGGCAACGAATGCGGCCCAGAAAACCAGGTTAGGGCTTGCGCCGGAGATGATTGTCGCCAGAGAAGTGATTAGAAGCGTAACTGATTAATGTGAGTTTCCTACCTAACTTAGACCTGGGTGGAGTAGATCATACCGTTGAAGGCAATCCTTCTGCCAATGATGTCGGCCCCGAATCCCCAGAAAATCGCTCCAATCAAAAGACCGACATACAACGACACAGTACCGGCATTGACGTAGTCCGACGGCGACGCCAGCTCGAGGTACACCGCCGCGTTCGTAACGGATTGAACAAGCGCGATAAGCGAGTCGACAGCGTAGCCGAAGCCGTTGAGCATGAAGAGCTTCCAGTGAAAGGGAGTCCAGCCGATCTCGTCGTTAGCCTGTAGAGGTCAGTTCCGTTCTTTGGGCCATTGAGATCTCATTTCACATGAGTCTTCGAGAGTGGTCGCGTCCGCATGAGTCGGGGAGACCCGTGAGAGCGTAGAGTTGTGTATCATACGTCATTGACGAGGTGCATCTTCTTGGCGAGCACGGGATCCTCGCCCTCGTTTTCCAAGATGTCCATGCCGGAGCTGATGGAGATGTCCTCCGCGCCGTACGCCGGCGCGTCGGTGTCGACCTTCTTTTGCGTCGCGGGATCCTTCATGGTTGCCGTGTCTTCCGATCCATACATGGTCGCTGTGTTTGAGGGAGAATGCAGAAGATGCAGATGACATCGATCAAGAGAGAATAGAAGAAAGGATCAGATGAAAAAAGGTCCCAGCTACGTGATTTATCTGCGGGGTGAGGGAACACGGTACGGCATCCGGCCAATGTCACACCTCGGGCGAAACTTGGTGCATGGGTACCCCACTATCGCACTTGAACGTGCAGTCGTTTGAGGCTATCTATGATCTCGTTCGTCATGTTCCTTGCGGCAAATAGTCTTGAGTCTTGGCCGTCTGTATGGGTCCTCATTTTAGTAGCCAATACACAGCTTTTCCTCACCACAGCCTTTTCCTCACCAAAAAGCCACACGTGGGATGTTGCCTCGAGCAGCAATTGCCGCAGTTGAGGGATAAAGAACCGGTCTTCAGGGTCTGCATTCTCGCCGCAAGAATATGTGATATCTTGCGTTTCTCATTGGACGCTTGGGAAGAAGCTTGAGATTGAATGAAACGTTCCTCCTGTTGGTGCTTTGGCGTGCAGGCGTCTGCACCAATGACACGCACCGAAAACACCCCACGTGGGAGGGGCATGAACGCAAAGGTTGGGGGATCGGCAGGTTTTGTTCCAGCTACGGCTGTCCGTGGCGCCGCTACACGCTTACCGAAATATGCGAGACCCGATAAGAAATACGACGGACGGTAGCAAATCTCTTCTGTAGAGTAGATTGTCTCGAAGTCATGTGCTTTCCCACGCTTATCAGGGCATTTTGCGTTTCCGCTATCTTGCCCCCGGTCCGGGCCGTATCCGTCTCCACTCGTATCAGTCCGGACTGCCGTCCCGGAGCCGATGCCGTAGCCGAGGTTCCAATTTTCAAACCGGAAGCTTCCGGTCACGTGGGGCATCATAGAACTAAGGTAAACGGCGCTGCCATTCGTGCCATTCGGAAGACTAAGAATATCTACATATACGCATCTTAGAAGATGCCACGACGAAGGAATTTGTTCGGGATGTCCACGTGTTTTGCCCGCAAATACTCACACACATTCTTCCCGAGCGTGTCATATTCACTCGTCGAGTTGAAACCACGGTCCAAGTGATCTCTCAACAAGAAGTGAACAGCCCTGATGCCCGGAATTTCAAACCTCTCAACCTTCTTCCCTTTATCACTGCCGTCCAGCAACTGTTTGATCTTTTCGGTTGTTAACACACTCCGCAGCCAGTCCCACTCATCAGCATGTCGGACGTAGAACCCAACATTGGCGTCGCTCGCCTTATCGCCCGATCGGCCACCGACAATCCATCCAAGCGGGCCCCTCGTCGTGGGACCAAAGTTATCGAGGTCTACAGGGTTGCTCGTCTCGTAGCTGTTCTGGTCGCGCGGGTAGTCTGCCCGGACGTTCTTCTGCACCGGGATCTCGATCGACTTGCCAGCCCATGGCATCTCGACACGATGCTTCACCTCAGACTGCGGCAATAGGGTGACGTAGTATTCGAAGAAGGGCTTTCCTTCCGATTGCCTCTGATCATTGCCCAACGTCGCTCCGGGGCAACTTTGCAGGAAATTCTCCATGCACCAGCGGTTGAACCCAGGGACGTCAAGGGTGAACTTGTCGACCAGTGCCTTGCGCTTTGTCTGAACGAATATCCGGAAGTCGACTGTTGCCACTTCTTGGTTTCGTGGGTTCTCGGGGCAGTAGCCGTTCAAGGTAAATTTGAGGCAGGACAGATCCTTGATGGCATCGCCAATGGAGTGGCGAATCTGCCGCTCCGTCCACTCGGCCTTGGCTTCGAGATCGAGGCCGACGATGTAGTAGTGAAACTCTGCCTGATATCCGCCAAAAGCAGTCAATCCAACTTTCGTCGTTGACGGAGCCGGGAGACCCTTGACGCCGGTGACTTGCACCCGATCCGGGCCAACCTGGGCCATCACCACTCCTTCGAGGTTGGCAGTGACATCGGAGCCGTAGTAAAGGGGTCCTTGAATTTCATACAGCAGCTGCGAGCTGACTGTTCCAACGGACACTTCACCTCCAGTTCCAGGCTCCTTAGTAATGACGCAGGTGCCGTCGGCCTCTACTTCGGCGATGGGGAACCCAATGTTCTCACACTTGTCCATCAACGCCTTGAAGCCGGAGTAGTACCCGCCACAGACGTAAGCAGAGCACTCGATCAAATGGCCACAGACCAGTGAGCCAGCAATTTGGTCGAGGTCGGTTTCGCGGTCCCAGCCGTGCCACCACATTGACGCGCCAATGGTCGGGGCTGCATCGGCAACACGGCCAGCGATGACAATGTCACACCCCTGACGGAGAGCCTCTGCGATGCCAGCGCCGCCGAGGTAACACCTAGAGCTTGTCAGTATATCATCATCCTTTTGGTAGTGGTGTGATTCATCTTACTGTGCAGCAAGAATGTCATCAAACCCCCAATCCTTCAACGGCTGCCCGTTCATCAAGCTCGTGAAAACCTCACCCTCAGCATGGAGTCTCTTCACCGTCTCGGTGACTTCATCGCCGCTGACCCAGCCGACTTTCAAGTCCAGTCCCTGCTTCTTGATCTCTTCTTCAACCAGCCCGGCGAGCAACTCAGTGTCACTGGCGCCGGCGTTGACGGCCATCTTGATGTTCTTCTTCTGCATGTACGACAGCGCCGGCGAGAGGTTCTCCATGAACGTGGGGTCGAAGAGGCCAACGGTATCCGCTGCCAGCTGCCCGGCCTGCTTCAGTCGTTGGTTCTCGGTCTTCTGAGCTCCGTGGAGTGTCATGGTACACTCTGACAACCAGTCACCGATGATGCAGTCGATGTCGCAGTTCTTGGCGAGGTCGCCGATGGCGCGCTGCCGGTCGGAGAAGCCGCCGGAGGACCCGGCGATCCGAATTGCTCTTTTTACGGACGGCATGGTGATGTTCGACAAGCGTGATCGTAACAACCAGAATACTAGATGTTTGCAAGAAACCAAGTGCCCGTTTCAAGAACACCCTGGGCTTGACCTTTGTTGGACCCCATAGGCTATAAGTATGTTTCCATAACCCAACTTGCCGGAGTCCATTAGCCCAAGCTAGCCGAACTGTCTGTTCACGAACATGGCAGAGCCTCTTGGTCGCCTCCGTAGTCTCCCCGGAGTTTTCTGAGACTAGTTGTGGGGGCTTCCCCGCGTCGCGGGTCATGGTCCGGGGAAGGTCGTGACCCCGAACGGAAAAGGATACCCAACCCCACGGACCTGGTCCCGGCGACTCGGTTTCGGCAACATGGTTTCTCGGAAATGATGAACCATGGCCAACATCCTTTCTCATGACAAATCTGACTCGACTTGCGCTTCGAGGATTGAGTTTCAGAGTCATTAGACCTCATGGTCTCCGTCCTATAACCGGGCCGTCCGATGATGGAAGCAGTTGCGGGTACTTCAACCGGTCTAGATGGCCAACGTCAAAATGAGGCAGCTTAAAACCTTCGAAACTCTGTTCTTTCTCTCTTTGTCGAGGTTTCGTTAGGGGGTTGGTCTTCCGAGTCTTTGGTCTTCATATCGAACGCTCACACTAGAAGGGCGGCGATGATGCTTCATACACCTAACTGACCTCCGTCAGCGCAGACTTCCGCATGGATAGCTGGCTCCTTGATATGTGACTTCGAATTTCTTTTGGAGGTCTTCTGTGAGAAATTAGTGAGTCAGTATGCCGCCGATGGGTCGCCTGCCAAGAGCATATGTATTTACAAAAGCATAATTTGAGGCAAGATGAGATTTGTTCCCCAACGATATATACGAAATTGAACAAAATGACCAAGTTGTCAATCATATTGTATCATCGCTTGCCGCACATTTGAGGAGGCTCTCAAAACCTGATTCGCAATTGGTTCATCTGGGAATATTTGCTCAATGACCAAGAGAATCAGGTTGAAAATGGCCTCACCTCAAAGCCGCGGACTCCGACCGGAAAAGGCGGTAGAGTGTGGCTGAAAGACATCTCGAGCTCTCTTCTCCAGGCTAGTATTGAGTGGCTTAGACATGGCGTCTGGGGTGACTGAGCCCGGCAGCCGTCTTGGCCGTTTTCAATACAAGGCGTTCCAATTGCCGTGGCACCCGCATTGTAACAGTGAAGGAGCTGTCCGAGTTCGACTGAATGCGCCCCCAGTATCACATAATATTGAACATGCAGTGGAACACAGACGGTGGCACAGCCGTGAGACAGGGCAAGCGAGGATCAAATGAAGGGCACATTGCAGTCGCGAAGCGGACGACGGAAACCCAGCGCGTCCGCCCTTCATTCGGACAAAGAGCGACACGGCGCAGAGCAGATCCAACACTCTCAAAGACAGCGACGGGCAGGCAACCTGACGAGTGCACGTAATTTTGCGTGCAGATCATCGTCATTAGAGGCGCAATCCGCCAACTGCCTGCCAGGGTTGCGTTGTCCAGTGCAAACCCGGCTCTTTCGCAGGCGATGCAACATCAGCCCTGATTGATTGAAGCCCTCAGGGATCCTGGCGGCCCAAGGGGGTTTAGTTAAGGTCGTGCGCTCTTTCGGGGAACAGGCGGCATGCGGAGACGGGCGGAGTCGCTGAAGCAAAGGCCGCCGATGAATCTGTCATCAACCCTTGCTGGATCATAAAGGCCTGCGGGCCTGGAACGGCGAGCTGGGAAACATTTGGTGCCTGGACCAGTCCTGCCAGTCACACAGTCCTGTCATCCGATGGTAAGGCGCAAATGTCGATGGAGCGCTAGGATGCAATGGAGACAGCTGGGACTAAAGTTTGGGACGGAACTGACAAGCGCGCGAGCCAACCTCCCGGGGTAGGGTTTAGGCCGAACTCAAAGAGACAGAAGCCGTTCTTGGGAAGCGAGAGGCGCGGAAGGGGTGCGAGTCCGTCTCGATTGTTCGCCGGGAAGCCGTTGTGCCAGCCAAGTGCCAGCGCCACCGTTGTGTTGGACTTTGATCGGGTTCTATTATGGCTGGCGGGGTATTGGGCATTCATTTTGCTCCGTCTTATCCGTGACATGCGTGAAGACACCTGAACACTACTCAGAGCTCACAACTTCGCGTTTGTTTACACTCTCCAGATTTTCATGAATCACAATTCTCTGGCGCCAGGCACCGGGGAGCAAGCAAAGTCTTCAGCACAACATCCGCCATTCCGTTACGAGAGATCACTATGAACGTTGCTTGGCGTCATGGGTACCCCCGGGCGACTCCATGCGGGGAAATTGGACCATTGACCAGCCTGAGGACCCGGCAACCCGAGAAGAGCTCGTAGGCGGCAGGCCAACGACTGGGAGGAGGAGAGCTTGCGCTACCGTTCCCCCGGGCCATCGCGCGAATCACACCGTACCTTGACCGCAGTCCCGGATCATCAATGACCTTTTCCAGAGTTTAGCTGCATGCACCTTGGCAACCCTCGCCGGATCCATGTCCATCCAGAAACCGCCGGTCCGTTTCTGCTCTCTCTCAGCTGAAATGTGTGTCAGTCTCCCATCAGCGGCGGCAGCAAAAAGAAAGCCTCGCCCTCTCGTCCACCCATCACATCCCATCCATCCTCCCAGCTGTCCTCCTTACATCTTCCCGCCCTTCACTACCGCCCCCGCGTGCGACGGACTCTAAAGACACGAGACTAGCATAAAGGCAGCTTGGCAAATGGCTGGGGGTGTGTTGGTGGTATGCCGTAGCTGACTCAGACTACCCGTCTGCCATCCCCTTTGATCCTTTCCCTTTTCTGTGCCCTTCGCTTTTGGGTAACCCCAATGTTGCGCAGCGTCCCTTTTTGCTCTTAAGAATCCGGTCCTTGCCTGTCACGTTCGTCCCATCCTGTCCGTCTCCCTTGATCTCTTTCCCCACACCCCGACTTCAAACACGGCCTCAACGTCGAAGCATCGAAACGATTTATTTCTAGCACCGATTCCGAAGACCGTCGCCGTTTTCGTCCAAGCAGCAGCCGGGAGCTCAAAGACCTTCGAGATCAATTCTCACCTAAGCCCTTCGAGCAGGCCGGACGGGAGTAACTCGAACGAGCACTCAGACTACATATCACCATGTCGGCCGCGGCATAACACGCCATGGTTGCCATTGCCGCCGAGCAGCTGCGAACATCACCCTCACCGACGACGCAAACCGTGCAAACGACGACGACGATAGTGACAACGAGATCATGATCATGTCAGTAGACGTAACCTTCGACATCGTCACCGCCAGCATATGCGCGGCTCTCATCCTCGTCCGCTGCGGCTACCGCATCTTCTCGCGCTGCAGGGTCCACGACTCGTGCCACCGGACATGGCACGCCGACGACGCCTACATGGCCTTCGCCATCGTGCCTCTCATCGGCCGCACCACCTGCATCGCAATCTCCTTCGTCCTCAACCCGACACACACCTTTGGTCTACCAACACCAGAAGACGCCGCGGCGCAGGGCGTCTCCATCGCGCAGCTTGAGGACAACTATGTCGCCTCGCGGAAGCTGCTGATCCCGTCACGAATATTCTATGCCATGTTGTAAGTTCGCTTACATACCGCCCCCAGGTCTCACTCGCATGTCGATCCAGCCTTGCGAGGCAACCTGGCGGTGAGACGATCTTCAATATCAAATGCACGTCTGACTCAGCTCTTTTTCTTGCCTTCTAGTTTGTGGTCTCTGAAGTTGTGCCTGCTCAACTTCTATTCCCGTTTCGTCGATGTCTTCCATTGGGGGAAGGTCGCCACCACTGCGCTCTGGTGGTTTATTGTCGTCACTTTCTTTATTGTCTTGATACCCACTCTAGCCGAATGTCGGCCACTGTCTTTGTAAGTCAAATGATTTGCTCCCATCCCCAAGGCTCGGCTTGGGCTAATGTTTGTTAGGATGTGGCTTCCTGATCCAACGGGTCAATACTCCTGTCACCGAGCGGTCGGCAATCTCGTCACCATGGCCGTCTTTAACATTGTCACCGATATCGCCCTCATCATTTTCCCGTTTCCCATCCTTCGCCACGTCAAGCTTGACGGAAAAGTGTAAGTCACTACTGCGAAAAGCCACGTGAACATCGTCACTGACATCCAGCAGAAAAGCGCAACTCATTCTCCTCTTCAGCATTGCTGGTCTCATTGTGGTAATTACCATCATGCGACTGCCCATGATACTGAACCAGGCAGTATCGCAGAGGTCTCGCTCCATGGTGAGTTTCTTCCACGAGGCTGGAATTACGAACTAGAGACTAACCTATCCTAGTGGGCATCCATCGAGATACTCTGCGCTTGCATCGTCGCAAACACCGCGTTCTTCTACGCACTCCTCAAAGACTACCAACGAGGTCACGACTCCCGCGTGACCGGCTCGAGTAGCTACACACGCCAGCCTGACTTCTATATGCAGGCCATCCCATCGCCCGAAATGAGGCGGGGTTCGGAGCCGTCAGACCGGCTAGACACGGCGGATTGCTGGAGGCGGGAGAGCCGGTCGAGTAGATCCAGTAGCATACCGATCATACCATGAGTATGATTCACCAAACAATTGATTTTTGTCGAAGACCAGATAATCGAGACATGCCGTGATTGCCCAAATTCCATAAGCTTTTCGGCTGCGCCATTCCGAAGCGGCGCGGCGCGGCTCGGACACGCCCCCGTAATACATCGCGTTCTTTTGGGGGCTGGTCAGGGGTAGTGCTGACGTTGACGTCAGCAGCCACATCTCGCGAGGGGCCGTTGAAAAGATGCATCGGCCCAGCTGTTCGCCAAGAAAACAAGCAGTTATTGTCCTCCAATCTCATCTTCGATCCTCGAATTAAGTTCATGTCAACCACGGACCGAAAGCTGTCAAAATCTTCGCAGCCCAAAAGCCGTCGCTCAAGCCACAAACCCAACAAACAGGTTCATTCGGACCGACACCATGAGCATCCGAGCGATTGCCAACCTATCCAACTGGTCCTTCGGGGCCATGTGCATCCTCTCGGCACTTCCCTTCGTTGGCATCCCTTTCCCGAACCAGCGCGCGGCGGATTACTACGCCGGCAAGAACAGGTGGATATCCGAGCTCTCCGGAGGCCGGCTCGACCCCACCCAGGCCGGGTACGCCGGCGCCGTGCTGCGGATCGCGGTGGGTACGGCCGTCTTGGTCCCGGCGACGAGGGAAGCGGCTTTGCTGATCAACGGGGCTATTGTAACGCGAGGAACGATGTTGGCGGTACGGGATGGGAAGCCTCTTTTGCCGCAATGGGGTATGTTGGGTATCGTTGCTTGGTGTCTTGTGTTGGGCCGGGTGGCGAGGTGAACATGTCCTCCGGATTAAAGGTTCGGTGAAGATTGGTAGCTAGTTTCTGTCACATCTCACGCGTTTTAATGCATCCTCATTAATGTTCATGGGAATGGCGGGAGATGCCTAGCCCTACCGCTCTGTAAGTTTTAACATTAGGTAAATGAGTCTTCTTTCGTGGTTTTACCAAATGACAAAGGGTGCAAATGGCACCTGACTTCAATACCTTCCGGAAGGATTTTGAACATGCGGGGGCCAGTCGACCGTATGATCTGATCCGGGCACAAGATCCTTTCGCTTGGTATAAGACCACTGTCAGCCACGCGTTATCCCGATTGACGAAGCCTCACGTGTGGATTGCGGCGGCGACTTATTTCATCGGGCGTCTTCGGAGCCGGGATAGATTTCGCCCACCGGAATAGGTTCTTACGCAGATGCACCCATTCGGTGAGATTGGTGGGAAACCCGCCGCGCCGGCTTACCGGCAATCTGACATGCATCCAATGGCAGCCAAAGTCCCTTGCGGGACACGGGAGCCTATTTAGATCTTCAGTCCCGGGTTAATCGATGCCTTGCACTATATATTTGTCAAATCATTCATTGGAGTACTGGAGTGTCTGACATCCATCTTCAAATTCACGATGGATACCAAAAATGGCGAGTCGCAGCCGTCCGCTGCAGGCAAGAACACTACGACGATCGGGCATAAGCTCCAAGACCCCGCCCGAGCGATCTACGGCTGGAGGCTTCACATCTGCATGCTAGGGTAGGTCTGCTTGGCATGAGTCCATCCCGCCCAACTTTATCTCAACATGGGGACTGACATGGGTTCTGCAGCCTAGCATTAGCTCTGTTCCTTTCCGCATTGGAGACCACCATTATCGCCACGGCTCTTACCACTATCGGGACTCATTTCAATGACTACAACAAAGTTGGCTGGGTGGTAACAGCGTTTCTGGTTACCAACAGCGGTATGTGCATGCATGATCAAACCTTTCGTCGAACAGACCAGCTGATCATTCGGCCTAGGCTTCATTCTTACCTACTCCAAGTTGACCGACATCTTTGGCCAACGAAATATCCTTCTATTCGCTTTGGCATGGTTTGCCCTCTTCTCGGGACTTTGCGCCGCTGCTCAATCCATGACCTTGACGCATTTGTAAGCCTCCAACTAGTTTCCATGTTATGCGTTCTCATGCTCACCAACGTTTCACAGAATTGTCTTTCGCGCTCTTCAGGGAATCGGCGGTTCCGGCATATTCTCCGTCGTTTTCGTCTCCGTAATCGACATCTGCCCTGCTCGATGGTTGGGGCCGTATTCAGCAGCAGTGAGCTCCGTGTTCGCCCTTGCAAGCATCCTCGGCCCGATTCTTGGAGGAGTGATTAGCGACACTGGGGACTGGAAATGGATCTTTCTCCTCAAGTGAGTTATGGCACCCAGTCTGCAGCGACTTTGAGGCTCTTACTAACGCTCGCTTAAGTGTGCCCGCGGCAGGAATTGCTGGCGCCGTCCTGGTCTGGTCGTTCCCCAAAGATAACATGGACTTTGGTAAGTCCGTCTTCAAACGCATAGACTTCATCGGGTCGCTGCTGTCCATCGGATCGGCTGTCTTGTTGCTGTACGGACTTCAGACCGGAGGCGCAGAGCACCCGTGGAGCGACTCTAGGATCGTTGGAACTATCGTGGCAGGCGGTGTTGCCGTCGTGCTTTTCTTCCTTTACGAATGGTTCATTCAGCGTAACTCGGCCGCCGTCATCGAGCCGGTCATGCCTTTCCGTCTCTTCAAGATTCCGAGAGTTACTTTTCTATTGCTGTAAGAATTTCGCTAGAGTCACGTTATCACCTTTTGCACGAGAATAGTTACTGACAAAGACGCAGTACTGCCTTCTTCCAAGGCGCCGTATTCTACGCGGTCGTTATCGTTCTCCCACAACTGAACCAGCTTGTCCATCTAAACTCCGCCACAATGGCAGGCATTCGATTACTACCACTTCTGCTGGTGTCATCCTTCTGCTCCATGCTTTCGGGGATAGCGCTGTCCAGGACGACTCGCTACGGCTGGTACACCATCACCATTAGCACTATTCTCGTCGTCCTCGGCGTGGGCCTCCTTGTCGAGATCCCGTTCAGCGAGAAGGTCTTAGATAGATACTACGGCTATGAAGTTATCATCGGCGTCGGCATGGGGACTGCAGTCCCTATTCTCATGGTCATGGGAAGAGTAGAGGTTGAAGATCGAGATAATGGTAAGTCGATTCCTTTAGCACCGTCGACACTTGAGCTCGAAACTGACATATCTTTGCAGCTGCCATGATGGGTGCCTTCAATACCATTCGTACGATGGGAGGTTGCATCGCCATATCAGTCTGCTCCGCAATCCTGCACAGCGAGATGCCAAAGCGTCTGGATACGTTGCCGGAGGATGTAATGAGGCCGCTCCTAGCTTCGCCCACCACGGTGTTGCCCCAGCTGGAGAAACCTGTCGCGTTGATGGTGCGCAAGACTTATAACGATGTGTATCGCTTGCAGTTCATCGCGGTGACCGTCTTTGCGGCTGCTATGTTAGTCTTCTCTGTACCGCCCCTCTTTCTTTCGGCAAGATCAACGGCTTCGAAGAAGAACGAGGAAGAAAGCAGGGAGCGAGGAACAGAGACTCTCGAAGAGAAGCAAAATGCCGTCTAGAGACACTCTGGAAGAGCCCCTGAGACGTTGCCCAAGATCGAACCATTGGTTTTATCTTTGTATACTAAAGTGGAATACCCCCATCATTAGACATTGGCGGCCATTAGATACGCTTAAGCATTGCATTCGGCCAGTTCACATTTCTCATCCCATTATTCTAGGCTACTTCAGCGGTCCCAGTTCTTCCTTCCGCATTTATGGCTCGAGAATGACAGCTCCGGGGAAGACGAATTTCCTATTCTGGTAATGCTCCGGAGTAGTGGGACTCAAGCCCGTCTCGAACACTTAGCGGCGCAACTTCATCCCACCGGAACCATCCCGGTGGAAGAGCCAAGATAAACCGAGGGGGTATTTTTGGAACTAGGGGAACTAGCTAAGCACGACATCTGTGATGTGTCGTGCGAATGGTTGATGGGACAAAAGTCCCGAGGAGGGGGGAACTGGGGCAAGACCGAGGACCAGGATGCCGGGTCTGCTGGCATGGCAAGTGAATCATGACCGAAACCGCCTGCAAGGCTTGGTAGACTCCGAATGTGACATGTGGACGATATGTGACAATGCTAGATGACCGGCATATCATGAGTCGATCCTGTCTATTCCTTGTCGGACCCTTGACTGCAGGCCATCGTGGGCGGCAACTACTGCGGCCCGAGCCTACTTCCAGGCATATGCAACTGGATTTCTCGATCTCAGATGAGGGGTAACGTCAATATTACCGAGGACTCAAATCTGACCCCCACGATAATGGAGTCCAAGCCTGTCGCTTACTGGGTTTGAAGTCATGTGAGAACCAGCAACGTGGTTGACGTAGCCACCGAACTTGTACGCAGGCTGTAATGCAGGACGGGATCTACGACCAGGTTCTCAATGGCACATGAACATGTGTTAAGCTGGGATGAGTATGCAACGTCGATCGACAAGCACTCAAAAGGCGATGTTGACATGTGATGCCCTCAACCTACGTCCACCAACATCCATCACGAATGATAGTCATACTTCGGGGTCGAGAATGTATGTCCAGCTCATCGAAAGTGGTCCTGAAAGGCTTCCTCAAAATTCCAGCATAAAAATAAGTTGGGAAAGCCTTTACCCGTGAGGATATTGCGTCCTGGTCGAGCTCGGAAAAGTTGCCAGCGAGCAGCTCTCGAGCGGACCGTATTCCCGAATGATGGCTGCCATTCTACACGCTGATTGGCTCATTTGAGGGACACATGGGTTCAACATCGCATTCAGAAGTGCCGGCTCTCAAGCAATATCACACTTCCTATTTCGCATCCAAATCAAAGTTACACCTTCACCCGGGGTCTTAAGGCTGATTCTCATCCGATCTTTATCCCAGCTTATCTGATGAGCCTCAATCAACCTCTGCAGCCTCATCTGCGCCACGACCGTCGGTCTTAAGACTCTATCACCTAGGCGGTCGGCTCGCGTCGTCGCGTCAGGTTTCCCGACCAGCTTCCGAGCAGCCTCCGGGAGCTGCATACTGCAGAAGCAAGGTTGTCGCGGCTGTCCAAGGATCTAACCCGAGCCGTTGCACTCCAAGTGGAGAGCCCCAGCGGAA